TGTCAACTAAAGAAATGAAGTTTTTGAGCCCAACTCATGATTTTAAAGTTAGGAATGCATCTTAACCATACGGATTGCTATTTCCTTAATTTTTTTCCTCCTTGCTTTGAGCTCAGGAATTTATAAATCATTCTGTGCACGTGATTATTCCATTACAATATGTACCTAAATAATTAATACAGGAGTTAATTACTTGTAATATACATTAATAAAATATTTTACATAAGTATTAATGTGTCTGATGCTTTTAAATTCTTTACAAATAAAGCTGATTCATCAAAGTAAGATAAGCCTCAAAATCTTTGAAAAATACAATTATCTTTTTAATGATGCCCTGTACATCAAGATCATCGAGAAATAATTAACTAGTGTTACAGAGTGGCACAGTCTTTCTCGTATTAGTTTTTTATTACTTTTAGTTATAGCTAGCTATTCAGACTTGCCACATACTCTTGCCAGCTACCATCACCGTCTAAAGTACTTTTTTATTTAATTTTTTAAAATTCTGTCAATTTTTCGGTAGAACCGATATATTACTTAAAGAAACATAGAGTAAAATCTCGTCATATCTCGCAATTATCGTTGAAAAATGTGGAGTGGGTTCGAAAGTGGAGTGGGAGCGAAACGTATCAATGTTAATGGGAAATTTGAGGCTCCTTTTCACAAAAACCTTTTTAGTTTTCGAAAAACTTCTTTCAGGACTTTTGAAGCACTTCAACTCACATATGCAATACGAGTAGTGCATACCAATCGCTGGAAATGTGCATATTAACGGCGTGAAATATAGTTAACAAACAATACATTTGTGTACATTTTGAAACAACCCAAAAACATGGCTTCACTATGCGTTAACTTTCCCCCTCCCAATTTAGCAACTGGATTTATTCACTTTTTCGTTATCACAGCCCGACGATGAATTTTTTTCTGTCGACCGTTTTTTGCGCACCATAACTTTTCCTTTACTACGTGTATTACTCCGTATGTACGTAATTATACGGCAAAGTAAAAACAAAAGAATACCTCAAAATGAACAGGGCAATTAGCACTACCCGTTTTGTTATAGTCCTCAGGAATCGATTTTGAAACGACTGGAGTTTAAGGATGTGAGATTGGGCTGCTGAGACCCAAATTTGTCTTGCAGATGTTAGTATTGGTCTAATCATTGCTTTGTAAAGATGGGTACATATTTGAATTTGGAGGGTAGAAGTTCGACATATATTGGGAAGAGTTGGCGAGTTCTTTCTGTGGCTTGGACAAGTCTGTGGTGGATTTGGTTTCCAGGTAGTCGACGATCGAAGAGGACTCCGAGAATTTTCTCTACTTCTGGAACAAAGGCGAAATTGAAAATTCTAAATCTGAAGAGTATATAAATTAATTCAGGCTGAATGTTTGGGCCAGCCCAACCCAGGATATTGTTTAAACTGTGCCCAGAATTCGTTTTCACCGACGCGTGAAACACAATTCTCAATTTTGTGGTGAGCGAATTAAAATTTTGTACATAAAAATGCGGAATGTAATTTACCCCTTGATTCGTGGTATTCTTCTGCATGTCCAAGTACGATATATTCTCTCGTAAATGCAACATATTCTCTTTTGAGCTTCTCATGAAAGCAGTGTTCTAATGACAACATAAATTGCTTCGCGATGTAGTATGATCTCGCGAGAGGTCTGTTTTAAAAGGCAATTATACAGAAAAGTGATCATTAGTGAGCCTTCGGGATGTGGCTAGAAAATGAGCTTCAGCAGAGTGAATTCACTCTTCAGAAGTTAATGTAGATAGCGACTTGTTTCTATCAATCCCTGTCGTTTTCGTGGATGGATATGTAGAATATACTATCCTGGATGGATATATAGAATCATACTAGCAGAGAACGATTAGCCTAATTTTAATTAAAATGATTGGGAATCTCATTTTAACTCCGAAAGAGAAGAGTCATAAACGCCCCTGCGGCGCCCCAATAGCTCCATTCTTTCTAAAATGCCAAAAGAACGTAAACATTTCAAAACTCCAAAATTTTAGATAGCTTTTTTTTCTTTAAGCAAAGTTCGTTCTAAAAAAATGGCTCTTTAAAAAAGTCTATGTACAATTTTTTTTTAAAAAAAAGAGCAGATTTCGCTTAATTAATCTCTAAAAGTCATGCTATTTCTAAAAACATTATCTGAAAACCCGCACGAAATATTAATACAGTTTCTCCTCGTATGTAACATTGTATGATCAATCAATCAACTAGTGATTCTGTAGAAAGGCACAGTCTTCTTCGCCCTAGATAGTTTTCTAATCTCTCTAGTCTGAACTAGTCTTTCGGTAGACTTTTTCTCTTCACGGCTGCCTTTAGTCGTCCGAAAAACAATTTTTTTCTTCACATTTTCTCAGCTCCGTAATGCTGGAACTGAAACAATTATGTCGAGTAGTATGGAAGTGTAGAAGTATTGTCTACCTGGATGGCTGAGGTTGTCAAATGGAGCGTTCGTGTTCATTTGAAACAAAAAGGGTAATCGCGATTTTAGTCCCACATGGGAATTTTAATTTGATTAAAGTTTTGTTGTAGAAAACTATTGAGGATTTGAGAAACTTTATTTGAAAATCATTTGAAACATTTCTACTCACAAATACAAATACACCGTACGTATTTTGCAATTTGCAACTTTTAATATTTTTTTCGACTTTCTTTTGTGATTTGTAAAACGTCCCTCACCTAAAATCAATGTTGACTTTCTATGCAAGCATATGAACCGAATTAAGTAAACTAATGAATCTATCGACATCACTCTGATGATATCAATTTTTCGCCTTACTAATTCTTCCTAAGAAGAGTAAGTTACGTAATTGTGCTCTAGAAAACGCCGAAATTTCGTAAAAAGAAAACTTATTGTCGGGTTCTGGCAGAGTAAATGTGAATAAATCATGTTGCTAAATTTAGGGGGGGGGGAATCCTCTAACTTGTGGTGTAGCCCAAATCCACGTTTTGTTGGTTCTTGATTCTGAAAAATCTGTTGTCCGTTCTGTGGTTATTGCTAGCGCCTAAATTGTTCAGTTGTTTTTCTTCATAATTGATATTCCATGTTTTTTCTTTATGGACTGGAGATTTCGGGAGTTTAGATTGTTTAAGGTTTTGTTTTACATGAACAGATATTTAGATTGTTGAAGGTTTTGTTTTACATGAATCGGGCATTTACCTTTTTATACCTTCGGCCGAGTTTGACGCACGAGACGCTTTTGTGGCGTATTGGTATGTGCTGACACGTTAACTCTGAGGATCTGTCTCTGAGTGGAAAAATAATTGCTGCTTGAAACAACTTTTGCTGGTTTATGTAGTAGTATAATGTTGCGGAGCATTTAGAAATAATGCGAGAAAGTATGTGCTTTGCCAGCACCACTAAGAACAGCAATGCCCAGTGAGGTATTTTACATTTAAAATATGGTCCCTAAAAAACGTACTGTGTATTGAATAAAAAAAGGTACATTAGCATTTTAACTTCTTCAATAACTTAAAGAAAACAATGCCCGTGAGATTTTTTCCATAAGAGCCTGTACTTATTCAAAGTTCTTTTATTAAAAAAATCAGGCTGGTAAGGGGAAAATTGTTTATGCAATCTTGAAGAACAGAGATTTTACATTCATTTAAAGTATTTTAGGAGGAGGATACTTCACCATGGTCGAACTAACGAATATGCTACGTAGTGTTTTATTTTCCTGCACTTCACTTGAGGTGGTGTCAATATATGAAAAGGCAATAAAAAATTACCTTAATATTAACAAATCGTAGAATATTAGTAATTTAATTGGTTTATTAGTATTAGAGTTATTTATCAACTGTGTATAATGTACTATCACTGACCAAGTTGAAATGTGAATACAGATGGAAATTAGTGTTTTTGCCAGAATTGATATTATTCGCAAAGCAAATGCACACAGTTTTGACAACGCTGCACTGCCAACAGTGTGTTGTTTGCTTCTTGGTTGAATTGGAAGTTTTCAAGTAATAGCTGAGGAGTTAGTAGAGCAGAAAATGCAATATTTCAATATTACATAGCTGTTACCAATAATGCGAGAAAGTATTAGCTGTTGTCGCACCACTAGTTTAAATAGTGTAAGTACTCTGTGTTATAAATGGAACAGTTTTTCAGTTTTCATTGGTGTGTTTTTTTGTTGTTGTTTTTTCATTGGTGTGTTTTTGTGAAAGTTCTTAAAAACATTATTTCTTGAACACTATTGCTTTTGTTGCGAGTACATAAAAATGTTTTTTGCCATTTCTCCAAGTATTGTATTCTAAATTCTTAATTTTGTTTTTAATTAAGACTTGCAACCACAAAAATCCCAAGTCTCATTGTAATTAATGTCTTCAAACAGACATTAAACATGCCACCGAAAGCAGTGATTATACATAATAAAAGAATATCAACATTATATTATAATTTACTTTATTTCTAGTACAGAACTTTAATTCAACAATTATATAATGAATAGTAAATCAGTAAGTGATAATAATCTTATATATAAATAATTTTGCTATGTTTGTTGAGGAGGTTCTACCAATAAGTAAAAATTATAGCAATTGCATTTTACAATGTCTTTTCTTTTTCAATTTTTTTTTTCTTCTTTTTTTAAGTGACAGCTTTGTTATGTATAAATTGTTTAATGAGTACGTAAACACCTATCAAGAAAATATCTCTACTTAATGATAATGGTATTTCTTATCTATAGTGAAAACAAAATGACTTCTCACCTGCATGTACTGTGCAAATTGCAAATCAACTTAGTAAATAAATTACTAAAACCTCACACAAAATCCATTAGATACCACAGAATAAATCCAAATTAAGTAATGTAATAATTATATTTGGGGGAAATTTTTAGGAGTGTAACCCATCAGTTATGTCTGATATGGTGCTCACACAACAGTTGAAGAGGTTTCATAATTGTTGATTAACCAGAATTATTCACATAATTCAAGAAAAAGTGGGGGAAAATGTGGGTTATTTTTCTATTTTCTTTAAAGGTGATCCAGATGAAAATGTATATGTAGTGCAAAGTGGAAAACTCAATGTATATATTACTGGAAGTGATGGAGCTGCCGTCTCCCTGAAGTGTGTGAAAACTGGTGAATCAGTTACATCACTTCTTAGTTTCACTGACGTCCTTACAGTAGGTTATTTTTGTGATTCTTTAAACTTCTTCCATTGTGTGTGAGGGTTCTTTTAATTTGATATTGATCAAGATCATTTTCTAATATGATATTTTTATTGAATCAGGGTCACACGAATCCATATAAAACAGTATCTGCACGTGCTGTGGAGGATACAACAGTTGTACGTTTACCAATGGCAGCTTTCCAAGATGTGTTTCAAGATTATCCAGAAATTTTCATTAGAGTTATGCAAGTGATTATGGTTCGCTTACAACGTGTTACATTCACCGCTTTACATCAATATTTAGGATTGTCAGCTGAACTCGTTAATCCTGTATGTTATATTTGAGTTCTTGCTAAATGAATCTGCTTTAAATAGTTTTGTAAAAACATTCTGAAAATGAGTGTACGAATTTTGTGCTGAAAATAAATTGAGCCACTAGTGGTAATATTCATTCAAAATAATTGATTCCTTGATTAGGGTAACCAAAGAAGAAGATCTACTGCTTCCAGTATTTTTGCTGGATCTCCAGTACGAGGACGTAAAGATGTTTCATCAGGATTGAGAGATGAACTATCGACAGGTGGAAGTGCTGCAGGTAAGATATTTTAATAGCTTTGAAGTTTAAAGAGCTTATGTAGAACATATAGTTGTTGGTTTGTTTGTTTTTTTGGTGTATAGAAAGTGCACACACTTCTCCAAGTGATCAACCAGATCCCACGACAGGAATAATTCCTAATGCAGTCCCTGCAGGAAGCTCTACTTCTCGAGTGCGATCAAAAGCAGGATTGGAAATTAAATTTGCTCCACAACCTGATATGCTTCCCGAATTTGATGTGCAGCAGGCTTCTCCGCAGGTTGGTAAGATGTTCCCATTCCCTAAATTCTGAAGTTATATGTGGGTAGGAGTGTTGTCCAATGTTCAGATTGTGGAGTGTGAGTAAGCACACATGACTCTCTTCTGCTATGGGCCTTCTTTTTCACTCACTGTTATCTATATTTCTGAGTGCTTTTTCTTTCTATTTCGCAAATTTACTGGCCCACTGCCTAACTTGATTGTTCATCTTTTCATTGTCTTGCTGTTTCTCTCACAGATTGGCTTTTTCATTGACCCCCCATTTGCCGCTAAGTTTCTTACCCTCTTACTGTACATTTGCTTTTACCCTGCTCATTATTCTTTCAATATTCTCCTCTCTTAACATACTCGCACATTCATCTGTCACTTTCTTGCCTCTGCCTCATCTTCATCACGTGAATGATTATTCATATTCTCATTTCAACTCCCAGTTACATAGTGCAACAAATTTGAACTTTGTGACTTACCACGAGATGATTTGCTCTTTTCTAAATCACATGAGCTGATTGCAAAAATTAAATCAGAGATGTTCCATTACATACCAGTTTTTCTGGATATGCCACAAATACCACATTCCAGAAAATTGGAAACAAATCTGTACTAATACATGAGGAATTGAGTTGATTAATATACCGATCATGTAACAAAAATTGTTTGTATTAAATTGCTTGTATGATACAGATCATATAATGATCATGATCGAGCATGAAGGTACACTAAGTGTCAGCGTTGAAGAACCTTTATCACAATTATTTTTGTAATATGAATATACAAGCCTGTGGACGCATAAAGTAATCATGTGAAAACCTTGGATACGGGTTATTGTAGGTGAAGCTTTTCTTTCTGTCTGTCACTGATAATTTGTATGCAGAAAATTAATTTCCCAACAACCTATATTCATCAACCGAGCAGTGACTAGCGGTGCTGGTGGTTCCAAGCTCTGTCAGATGGCAATTGCATATATACATACATATATGCATAGACTACATATATACATACATAATGTCTACATTAAATAGTGTGCAGACTTGGACTAAGCTAACTAAATTATAATATCTTTCCAATGGACTAACTTCTCACATATCATTTTTTCATTATGTGGCTTTTCCTGACAAATCATTTCACAAATACATGATAGAAAAGTAGAAAATAAAAAAAATGACTAGAAAATGAGAGAATAAGAAGAAAAAAATTAAAAATTTACCAAAAAACTCATCAATTAGAAGTATGAGTGTATTTCTTTATTTCTTAAAGCTATGAGGTGTCTCCTCAACAACTTATCATTTTTTTATTTTTTATTTGTACATTATTTAGTTATAAAGTATCACTCAAATCATGTAGGCTTTCACATACAGAGCGTTCAGGGCAGTGAACGATTTTAATGACAGATTGTATAACAGATGAGCGCTCGCCTAAGACCGCGATCGCTCTCTGCTAAATACTTCTTCGCCAGTCAGGGAGTGCGATTTCACAGCTGGTCGCTGGTTGACTGAATTTTGTTGGTCAATGTAATTTTGATTGCGTGGATGTTAGAAACAGTTTTCACGAGAATTCATTTAATTCCGTATCATTAATGATGAAAAAGTGTACTAAGTGATTCAAACATTTCGAAATACTCTGAGAACATGTGTGATTGATTGAATTAAGTCATTAGATACAAGAAATGAAATGGAATATACTGCCAAAGGCTCCCACGTAGGCCTTGTAAAAAACTACGGAATTCTGCCGGTACTTTTCGATCTTGCGTGTTCAGAAGATTCAAATTAATGTGTGCTTATAATGTTTTGCAGTTATGATATTTGGTGTTTATAATTACGATTTCATTTTCACGTGTTCATCTTATGACTGACAGCCAGTGTATCAATTATTGATCAGTATTTGCAGATATGGTTAGTTAATGTGAATTCGTTTGTAATAACTAAAATACTATAACTTGTTCAGTTATTGGACTAATGAAACAAGCTTAAAATGACATGTATAATTAACATAAAACTACTATGAATTTGCTGTTTTCTTTTCATAATTTTGGCTTCTCCTGATTGTACAATCTTGGAAAATTTTCACACTAATTCAATGATTTCTTTGGGGAAAAAGGTACAAGTTAATAGATATTCTGGAGTAGTTTGGCAGTATTCTCAGTTAATTCAATTGTATCAGTAATTTCAGGTAAATTTCTTAAGTATGGAAATCAAGTCAGTTCTTAAAAGATAAAAATGGGTTGAAAACTGCTATAAATTATTGTACTTCACCTGTCATTCAAAAGATATTAAATAGTATATTCAATAATGAAAGATAGATGATTTTTCATGATCACTGGTGCAAGATTTAGCCTTAGAAATGAAAATTGAAATGTTTCATACTTCAATAACTTTATTACATAATAATAAAGTCAATTAGAAATTAGGTGAAAGGTAACATAAAGAAAACAAAACATGATAAAGTGAAAAGTAATTCCTTTTATTTGCATGCATTATTTATTTGGAGGATAACATTTTCAGCGAATCCATTTGAAAGTCTAATAAATTTTATCCACTTAGATAATTTAAAGTCCAACTATACAAAATCAAAAATGAGTTTCCTAAGTCCTTTTAGAAAATATTCACAACCCAGATATTAACATCTCCAGCCTCAGCCTACCACATTTGCCAGGGTCAGGACTAAAAATTTGAAATAAAAACTTATTACATTTGAATTTTTACGAAAGAGGATAAAACAATGAACAATGTACGTATTGTATACTTCTTATATGACAACACTTATTGGTTATCAAAGCAGTACTAACAGCCGATTTTGATAATTAATAATGTATTGCATTAAGATGTACAATACGAAATCTAACATACTGCTCAAAAAAGATAAAACTTTTTCTTTTCACTGAATCTGCATTTCTAATTCTTTTTTATTTAAAAGAACTAATTTTCTATTACTTGAAGTTAATTTTTTGATGAGTGTAAATGAATGTTATTAAAATATATTTTCATTCACAATCAAACCTTTTCTCACATACTTTCATTTACACACATTTTATATGCCTATTCATGTACATTAAAAAATGAGACTTCATATAAACTGAAAAAACTTCTTTCTTTTAATAAATAAAATAAAATTATTACAATAATTACTGAAAAAAATTTACAAAGGAAGTTAACCATGTGCAGACATAATGAAGTGTCTAGTTATATCTTCTGAGAAGTCTATGCCTTAAAAAAAAAATCACCTACCCATACAGAGGGCAAAAAAGCAACATTACTTCTGGGAAGCAAGCAAATGTGCATTTATTTCAGTAAGCCAGATCAGCTTAAAAACAATAAAGTTTCATATTTCACCTAGGAATGTAACACTTACTTGCCCTCGATAGGAATAATATAAACTTTTTATTCTGCACCTGAGAAGAACAAGAGTTATGTCAAATCTTTTTTCAAACTTATGAATATACTGCATTGAACATGTAAATAGATACTGACCATATCTCTCCTTAAGTAGAGACACAAGAGCCCAGGCATGGAAACGCATGAGGAACGATATCATCAGAGTCATCCTGAATATTTACTATGACAGAAATCCCTGAAGCATCTTGCCTAACTTATAACTTTCCAATCTTCTTCTATATTATTCTCTTATGTGTGTCATATAATTCTTCCAACTAAAGCAATGTCAGAATGAATAGTACTTTATATTTAACAAAATTTTCTGCAAAAAAGACTAGATCAATAATTTTGTTTCTTCAATCATTTCATACTAAACGATATCTGACCACATCAACTATATGATTTTTCAATCATTGAAACATTGGCAAATCAATGCTATCAAAATGCATGTAAAAATAAAAACTGCCTTATTCTATGATTAATTCAACTAAACTTGTGATTAAGAGAGTACCTTTTCTGAAACAATTACTTCAGAAGTTTTCAAAGAAAACTCTAAAGGTGTGTAGTGCTGAGATAGAAAATGCTGCAGGTCACTTCGTACATTTGATGAGGCCTTTCGTTTCTAAAAAAACTTGCGAAATGAAAAAGGATATTTAAATATTTTAGTTGTATTCAAAGACAATATGCATTTATTTTCATCTCGCTATAGAATACATATAAACATTCTAACTGGCAAAACTTGATGTTCTTCGAAGAAAAGTTGTATTACTGTATAACTAAAATCACTGAACCCATTGAGATGTAATAAATTTCTATTCCGTGGCTTTTAAGTGAAACATCAATTTTCACCACTGTGTATTTTAATACTCGTTTTAATCAGGTATTTTATTAAATGAATAAATGTATTATTCAATGATATTTTTTCACATTTCTAAAAAAACACATTGATGAAATGTCCCACTCACCAGCACAGAATTGCAACAGGTGCATATGGCCTTTGACAATTAAACTGATGGTTTGCTAATCAAGGTGTAATCTTCTTTGCTCCACTTTTTGGAGAACATTCTGCTGTCATAGTTCTATGATATTCATCACTTCGTTTGCTTCGACGGGAACAATAGTACTGGCATCTTTGATGAAACCATTTGCACCCTCCTTGATGTATGGACTATAGATCTTTTTACCTTTCATCTAAATTTTTGCTTGAGCAACTTCACGTTTATCTTTCCATGACCGAGAGCATTAACCTAGGAAGATTGTTAATAAAGACAATTGTAAAAATTACTGAATTAAATCATATTGATACCACTTGTAGGTGCTTCAAACTGACAAATGGCATATTCACATCACATAAGTCATACACACATTGCTTATTTTCTCAAAGATGCATTTCATTACATTGGCAAACCATGCCTTCTCATTCCTTATATCTAGATTCATTAATTTTCAACACTACAAAGTTTAGTCGATTTTTTGTTGCCTTTTGAATAAGACCAAGTTTCATCGCAAAACCACTTAATTAATAACCTTTCAGCGTTCAGTTTCATAATATTCCATCAAAAAGTCAGATATTTCAATAACTATATCATTTCTATTCCACTGCAAATGCTAAATAAATTACTTACCATTTCTTTACATTGAAAAATAATGGTGCTAATCAAGCCCTGTCCAAAATCATGCCACTACACATGTTTTGTTCCCATCCTAATTCCTGTTACACTCCTTCCTAGAGTCTGAGCAGTATCAGGGTCTTGCTTCCAATATCTGTTAAAAATTAAAATTCAACATTATCCAAAACAATTTCACCTGACACTTTATTATGACATTTTATTTGACTTTCATTATGACACTTTATTATGATTTTTACTTACTTTTGAACATGCTTGAGGTTTCAGCTCATTTCATAGGCAGTTTTGTCAATAACTGAAGAAGTTTCTTATTGCATCGCATCAGCTCTTCCACAAATCTTTGCAATAAAAAAGATGTCTTCCTTGGCACTTGATTGCTGTGTCACTTCTCCCTTCTGCGATATAACTCATTGCTAAAGTTGCTTAAAGCTATATGACTACATTATAATATTTACAACTTAATAGCTATATTAATGTTACATCATAATATTTCAATGAATTAAATATAAAATAAATATTAAATATATAATGGAAATTTCTCTGAAATATGTGGAGTGAAATCGTTCCACGTTTCTCTCTCACTGTGTCACGATCTCCACAAAGGTTCAACAGGCTGAGGAGAAGCGCGCTAGGAGAGCGCCCTCTTCCGGGCGGTGCCAGTCAAAATACACACAAAACAGTCAATAAACACGCAAAACTGTCCTTGGAAACACGGGCAAAGGACCGCCCGGGCCCGCCAACATAAGGAGAAGCCATGTTAGCTGCACCTTTTTTCTTGCAGTGAACTCTCCAATTCTAACTGAACACAGTATGTGTTAAAATTATTAACTTTTAAAAATAGTAAACTTGAATATAGTTTCAGAATTCTTCAATGATGTTTTATCACTATAATAAAATATTTTTCATGAACTTTCTCTTGTCGGAATGACAATACATTATGTTGTGTCACAGCGCCACGACACGTTAGCCAAAGTTCGTGAAATGAATTGAGATCATTTCTGCATGTTAATCACTGGAGCCACGCCTCCAGGTATGATCCATGTGGTTATGGCATCCAAGTGGCTGTCAAAAAAAACCGGTCACATGACTGAAGCTCTGTACACACACTATAAAACACTATAAACTAAACATAATAAATACATATAATAATAATATAATTAATATAATACATAATAATAATAATAATACATTAATTAAATAATAATAATATAATAATATAATTAATTAATAATTAATAATTAATAATTAATAATTAATAATTCAATAATTAAAATATCTAGTTTTCTTTGCCAGTTGGAACAGATGATATTTCCTTTTCAAATTTTGATTGATAAATAAACGTAAATATTTTGTTTCTCTAACCCTAAGTATTTCTTCACAGTTACAATTTTGAATATCATAGTTAACCTTGTGTAATTTCAAGGTGAGTGATTTAGGTACATTATTAGTGTAGCTACCAAAAGTATGAATACCCCTTTTTTTTACATTCACTCAGCACATTTTTGTTTCACCATGTTACTAATTGGCACAAATTGTACTTGGGCCTCTATCGAACTTCCTACTAAGACTCACCTGTCATTGTAATAATTGTATCATTAGCAAAAGATATAAGACCACCCTTTATTGGGTCTTAAAATATGTCAGTAATGTATTTACAATGTAATAAATTAGTCCTATGTATTTGCAAATTTTCATGGAAACATTTGAAGTTCTTCTTGAGAAATGTTTGTGGAAATGTGCAATTTTGAAGTTAGGTTCAGAGAAAAGTTTTGAATTTTTTGGGAACTTCATCAGAAATAATTTGAAGACTAATTATTAAACAATACTATTAAAGGATTAACTATTGAAAATCAAAAGAAAGGTGTTGCTGTCTTAGAATGTCCACGATGATACCACAAGGATTGTGGTAATGCTTCCAAAATTTGTAATTTAAATAGTTGTGTTTTACGGAAATTCCAAATTAAAGGATGTAGTAGTTAAATGCTTAATTCAAACACTGCCTAATCTGAAGTGTGGAAACTTGGGACGGTCTCATAGTGTGAAATTGTTAAATTATAATAATATTTTATCATCATATATACTGCCCATCTCTGGCAAACCTTTGTCAAACCCCTTGAAGTGCAGCACACCTTACTGTTCAACAATTTCTTAAATATTCTAAAAGCTATCAATTTCTTAACAGTTCTTGAGGAAAAGTTGGTAAGCAATTTTGTTAAGAGCCCTTTTTTGTGAGCACATGAAAACTCAATTAAGATTTTTTTTTGTTTCTTGTTGTCGAGCTTCATTTTACTATGTACATACAATGTGTGTTACTATGTGCATATAATTAACAAATTGAGAAGCTACATAAATGATCATCATGGTATTCATATTCATTGTGTTCATTAGAAATTGGTGTTATAGCTTAAACCTATGAATTCATTAAATCATTAGATGCAGTCCTAAATTCTGTCCTATTAGAAGAGTAGTTCGAAAACATTTAAATATTTTAATATTACTAAAGTAACATACAGTTATCCTATAAATTCATGAGGAGTTTAGTCTTGTTGATAATAGATTTTGAAAAAATGGTTCTTTTTGTGTGTTGGAAACTAATGTTATTCATGTTCATTTTTCTCCAACCAATGTAAGGAGTATTGAATCTCAAACCCTTGGTTGACATCGGTCCTGAAATTGACTTTCTGACTGAAAAAATACTTTCTTAAACATTTCAAATATAGTCTAAATATTAATTTGTGACATATGCCTCTAGAAACACAAAAAATCCTAGTTTTCTTTAAAGCTCATTTTGTATGAAATTCTATACTTTAGTACTCGATAGAAAGAGAAAAATGTGTGAGAGACATAGTATGGTTTGGTAATGAATGGAAATCAATGTGCTGTAATGTGTGAAACGGAACCTGGAAAATATTTTTGAATTGAATTGAAAAAAGTCAGATTGCTCACTACCCTGCATGAGCACCAGAATTTTGAAATGGAGACTAATTTGCTCTTATATAAATTTTTTAAATGTTGCGAAAATATTGGAATGATGATTTAATTCTTGGTAAACTTGTGTGTGTGTGTGTGTGTGTAATGGTGTCATGTCATGTTGTGTTAAAGACTCCTGATCTCCAAGCTGGACTTTCTAGTGGTGGTAGTATGAAGCGACGACCACAAAACCAATTGGATGATACATTGAGCCAACCCCGTCAAAGGCGAGCACCTGTATTTGCTGATTCTGTTGATGATCCTCATTATACATCGGGAAGTAGCTCAAAGCGGAAAGGTACTGGAACAGCATTGAATGCACCATTGGAGCCTATGGATGAGCAACAGTTGATTCAAGTGGCTACAGAAGCTTTTGTTAGAGAGTTGGGTTTGGAAGATGACACAATTTTGCATGGAAAAGTGGAAATTAGAGAGGTACCCACCGGAACATATTTAATGAAGGAAGAATCTCATAAGGTTAGTTACTTGCTAATTGTTTAAGTTGCTAGTTCCTTTGCTTCTTATAAAATAATGTGGGAAAATATTTAATTAATGCAAATTTTCAGAATAAATTGTTATTCTTGTGATAATTTTAGTTTTCAAATGTTGAAACAGAAGGATCTTAGTTAATCTTCCAAGTTCCAAGCGGGGTCCAAGATCACCCCAAAGGTATACTTTCGAATAGTTTAATGGTAAAACAACTAGTAAAAATAGTGTTGATTTTTTTAAGTGCCAGGGTCTTCTTAATTTCTTTAATTGGTCTTCACGTTTGTAGCTTAAAAAACAAAAATAATATCATTTATTTCAAAAATATAATTTTTCTCTTTCCCCCTGGGGCCTTGAATGACCCTGCTTGGTATTCGATGTGTCTATTAATTTTTCTGTCAAAGTTGTATTTTCTTATATTGGTATAATTGTTTGTCTTTTTTAATCTTTTTGTCTGTATATTTCTGCAAATTATATAAATTGTTGAATGAATAACATGAAGTCCTGTACAGTAATTAATACTGGACATAGTTATTATGAATAATGTAATTCATTGTGATGAAGTCTTACATTTATTAGAAAATGACTTGGAAAATGATAGTGAATATGGAGGCATGTTGGAAACATTTAAAACTGAACTGGATAAAATGGTCTATAAATATTCTGTGAGAAGGACTACAAGAAGGTGGCCTTATGCTTTGTTTCTCAACATAGTTGACATAAGATTTTTGAATGAAAACATAATAAGAAAGAGAAAAAAACAAAATCTCAAAATAAATTTTGTACAGAGAAGGTGAAGATTTTTGTTAGAACTTTGGGAAAGAATTAGTCTCACCAAATGCCAAACAACATTTATTGAATCCCACTGGCCTACTCAAATAAACAATAAATGTGATACAAAATCTCAATCCAGAAGAAATGGAAGTACACACTGCTGCAAAACATCCGTCTAAGAGAAACTGATGTTGGTTATGTCCTAGACAGCCTGATAGAAAGTCAGACATTGTGGGAAGTGTGCAATGTGTTTTCAAGACATCACAAAAATTTTACAAACCTTAGTTGTCACACATGTAGTGAGAATATTAAGTTAATAATAACAAAGAACTTGCTAAATAAATCATTGTCTAACCCCTGACTGAAGTTCTCTCTTAAAATCATGATCCCTATCATTTAGAACTCTTCAAACACAATGATGTGATAGGGTCCAAGTAGACCCTTGGTAGTTCACCAAGATTCTCGAAGGTACTTGGAAGGTGAAAAGAGTGGCGTGCAAAATATGTCAGTATTCTAAAAAATATTAAGTGTATACTGTTGTGGGTAATAATGTAGGAGGAGAATAAAGGGTTTAGGAAAGGTCAAGGAGCAGTTGATACAGTTTTCACCTGAGACCAAACAAAAAAAGAGAAAGATAAAAAGAGGAAATTAGAGATAAAAGAAGAAGAATAAAAACAACAGTAACATCGACAACAACCAATTTACTTACTATTCATGATCAGCACCCACAATAGAATCATCAGGATGTTACTTTGGGAAACCCTGGAACAATAGAAGCAATGAAAATTATACAATGACTTAAGAATTGAAGTGAACGCTATTATTACATTAGTCCTAAAAAATAGAGGTATGCAGTCGGAGTGAACGCAGTCATCACTGATTTGAAACTTGTGATAAAGTAAGTGAAGAAGGGAATAATAAAGGGAATAAACATGTGGATGTGGCAATGAGTTGTTAACAATAAAGTGAACTAGCAGCCAAGCCAAAGAACACTAATCACAAAGAACATCACAGCTTCTGAACAAGCAAGGAAAGAAATATGAATTGAGAATAATCTGTATTTATAAGATCAATGAGCTTTAGAAGAAAAGAACATGGTAAAACTAAAGTAATGGTATGATATTTTGGAATAGATGGCCACATTAACTAAAATACAAATTTATATTGTGGGAGGGAGGCTTTAAAACTGATAAAATGTAGTAAACTGAATAATGTCAAAAATAACTCTCATTAATATCTTATTGAGGTGTTTGCCGATCCGGTGGCCGAGATCGCCAAGGCAGTAGTGCCATAGCGATCTCGTATCGAAAGATCGCGTGTTCATGTCCCGCCTTGGGCATGGTTGTATTGTGCTCGTCCTTTCACCCCCCATCTTCATCATCATCATCATCATCATCATCATATCAGGGAAGGAAACGGGAAACCACCCTGAATAACATCGTCCTCCATCTCTCATTATCACCTTTCTGAATAACATTCAGAATTGTAACTCGAGGATTTATCCTCACCTCAAGGTGGTGACACCTTCGACAGTCGACCATGAACAGTAAAAAGTGAAGTGGAACGACTCAAGTGGTCCAATGTGGCCAATCTAGTTAATAATAATTGAGGTGTTTGTGTTTCTAACACAAACACCTCAATAAAATAAGGGCAATGGTACATTATACTGTGAATTGTGGTTATTAAAGGAAATATCCAAAGCAGGATTGAATATGAATAAAAAAAAAATTCCTGACTGAAAGGTTTGTTTTTAATACCTTAAGAAGAGAGCTAGTGAAATAATTTGTGTTCGATTTTCACAATAAATAGAATACAAAAAGGGAAAAAGTTCATCAGAAAAATAACAATATGAACATGAATAGAATATAATTCCTTTACTTATTATTGGGACTACCAGAGCCCTAAATTTGTAGAAAAATGTACAAATCCCATAATTTGAGAAAAATAGAATGTAATGGGTCGAAAAGTGAATTCATTCATTTTCATAGTTTCTCTTACTTCATTAAACTTATAAAATTTCAAAAAGTGATCTTAAGCTCCAAATGTTTTTTTGTTTCTGGTAAAGTAGTTGTATTTTCAATCATAGGGTGGAATTAAAATGTGTAATTTGTTTAGGTATGGAAATAGGTGCCAGAGGGGTCATGGGCCTCTAAAAATTTTGAAAAGGAATTTTTGAAAATTTTTGAAAGTAGCTTGATGTAATAAAACATTTCATTTCTTTAAATTTGTTCAATCTCATATTTTGTCTCTTTCTAATGTGACATTTTCGAAAATCGTTATACAGTGAACTCTCAGTTTAACAGACTGCAGTATTACATGTATATTTCTGTTTTACATACATATTTGAAATTCACACGTCCCATGTTTCATAGTAAAGATATTTCACACTTACAAACTCTCTACTCACACCTCAGTATTACGTTGTAAAAATGTATGAATTAATTTTTTAAAAAAATACATTTTCATTCATATTAAATATGCTGTTGTCCCCAGATTTTCTGGAATATTTATTTCGTAACATTTCCTCTAAGGGTATGTCCATTCCAGGCAATGTGCATTGAATAACCTATCGATACTACTGTAACCACCCCGCCCCCGGGTGGTTGCCCCGGCTCACCTGATTACGTGGTTTCCCGATCCAGCGCTGCCCTCGTTGCTCAGTGTGTAGACTCTTCAAGGATACATGCGTGATATGGCTTTTTCTCATGCTAATATTGTAGTAAAACACATGGCTGCATTTTTTAAGTGGATTTAATGTCCATTCCATTCGAGGCGAGGCCTCTCGTTATAAACAGGTCTTTCTTAAAGCTAAATAAAAGTAACTTCTCTTATTTATGGCCATTTAGGCCAGAGTTCGCCCTTTCAGGCAAAACGACGCTCTCCCCAGCGTCCATGATACCGGTGACGCAAGCAACGGCCCTTTCCCCTGGCCGTCTGGTGCAGCGCGGCCCTGGCTTCCCGTGGCGTGTCGTCGGCTGGGTTGTCTCCTCCACGTCCCTTCGCAAGGTGGTCAGGACGGCGGGTGGCGTGGTGGCGATCCGGGCGCTAGCAACGCCTGATCCGTCGTGCAGGCGGCGTTGCGGCAGCAGTCGGCCTGTCATGAGTCCTGGGCTCGAGTTCAGACACTCACAGTCATTGTCCGGTGTTCATGCTGGCCCGGTCGACACCGGAGATCCGCGGTGCATTCGGGCGGCGGTGTGGCGTCTCGTGGTGCGCGGCAATGCCCTTCAGCGCTAGGCGGCGAGCGACATCCCCCAGTGACAAAAGAAACTTTCCTGTCTCTCGCCTTCCTCATCGGAATCTGAACCTCTCGCAGTCGCCTCTTATATCAGAAGTGAACTGCTCTCTCTCTCTCGCCTCCCTCATCAGAATTAACCAGCTTGCGAGCTGTGGCGACGGTCAACAATGCCTTATAAGGGAGAAAAATGTGTAGATAAAAAATAACCAAAAGAAAGATGAACAGTATTATTTTGTTGTAATGCCACTGGTACTGAAAAATTGCTGTCTATGCTTGTAGGATTTTGCATAAGCATAGATGTTTCAAAGGTGTGGCATCTCGTGTCAGTAAAATAAACAGCCAAAGAGAAAGCACGGATGAATGAAGATGACTTTTGCTGACTGGCTTCTTGAGTTTGACAAAGATATTGGGGAACAGAAAACAATAATCCTGTTGTTGATACACAGTTGCTCTGCTCATGAAGTAACTGGAGATTGGAAATTTTAACATTGAATTCCTCCCTTTCAACTGCACTCCTCTGTACTGCAGCTACTAGACCAGGAAATTATTCATTATGCAAAGGTTTACTTTCATAAATGACTGGTTCAGCAGATTCTAATCATTTTCTTAGATTGAAACTTTCAGCCAAAATCAACATCCTGCAAGAGATACACGTGTTAGTGGGGGTTGAGGGTGGAATGTGAAAGTTACAATTGCCAAATTTTGGAGAAACTCGGGAATTTTGAATTTCCAACAGTGCTTTGCCAAAGGTTGGAGCTTGTGAAAATCATTGTTAAGTGTGGGAACAAAAGCAAAGGAATTAGAACTTCCTGCATTTGTAACACTTGATGATTATGTCTATATTGATGACGGCTGAAAGGTGTCACTGCCTCACAGGGTGTGATATTGTGGAATCTTTAACTACATCTCATGAAAATAATGAAAGGGAACAGGAAGAAGTAGAAGAAGAAAAGATTGAAGAGTGTCTTCAACAGAAGAGAGAGAATGAAGTGTCTTGAGAAGTTAAAAGTATGTTCGGAAGAATATAAATGTTACTGAAACAGTTCTACATTCAGTATTTGAGGTAGAACAGTTTGTGGAAAGCAACTTGCTCAAAAAGACAAAACAAACTTCCATCAGAGAACTTTTTAATGAGTGATATATTTTTTTCTTCATAATTTTTGTTTATTGAGCAAAGTATTTAAAACAAAGTTAGTTAAAATTGTGTTTTCAGAATAAAATATAAATAAAATTGTTATGATAATCTTTATTCTGAGATTTCACTGTACTGCATTGCACAATTGCACAATTTGTTAAATTCAAAAATAGCTCAGCTTTGAAATTGTGGTTTTAGGATGTTGCTTTGATCTACTTGCTGTCTGGCACTCTACTCGTTTCTCAGAAGATGACAGACAATCAAGAAGATGTCAATATGTTTACGGCATATCCAGGTGAAATTGTGGGTGGTCTTGCAGTTCTCACTGGTGAACCCAGTTTTTTCACCATTCGGACGAAACACTTTTCACGCCTTGGGATGATATCAAAAAGTACTTTTTACAGGTAGACTCTTGTTTTGTGTTCACAGTTTAGTCACAATTACAAAAATAATAACTCATAATCCATTATGTATTCAGCTTTGTCCTTCTCGTATCTTAGTAGTTCATGTTATGTACTACTAGTTTCTTTGTTTTTTCTTAAGCATCATGCGTGAATGTCCACGTGTTGTATTACATATTGCTCATACGGTTGTTCGAAGACTTTCTCCATTTGTCCGTCAAGTTGATTTTGCTCTTGACTGGGTATTCATGGAAAGTGGAAGAGCTGTTTATAGGTAAGTAAACAATAGTAACAATTTAAATGATTTTTAATTTTAAAGAGATCTTAGTTTATGAATTAATTTTAAATAATTCTATATATGTACAGGCAAGGGGATGAGTCAGACAGTACTTTCATAGTTCTCAGTGGCCGTTTACGTTCAGTTATTAGACACAGTAATGGAAAAAAAGAATTAGTTGGTGAATATGGTAAAGGAGAACTAGTAGGCATTGTGAGTACTTTTTAAAATAAACTTTTCTAGTTTTAAGTTTGAAATTGAATGAAAATTCTTTTAATTTAATTTAACATGTTTTATTTTACATGATTTTATATGGTTGTGATATGCCTTACAATTACTGTAATATTAATAACGCAATAATTATCAAACTGGAGTATATGACTGTGGTGTTTTTTTGAATAGGTGGAAATGGTTACTCAAACCCCCAGAAGCACAACTGTGATGGCTGTTCGAGATTCTGAACTTGCAAAACTTCCAGAAGGACTTTTCAATGCAATTAAGTTACGATACCCAATTGTTGTAACACGTCTCATTAACTTACTTGGTCATCGAATCCTTGGTACGGGATAAATCTAATATCTAATTTTTAAATTAATTCAGAAGTTTTCAGTGTCACCTACAAGTGACACGTGTTTGATTTTCTATAAATAGTCGTTTATGAATTTTAGAAACTTGGTGTCTCCGAACTCTGGTTTCCTCCTTTTTTTGAAGTACTGAAATGAAAATTTGGCACCCCTACTTCTAGGGAATTGTTGTTTTTATTTATTCAATATGTCTCACAGAAATTTTGGTGCATCATGCACTTGTACTCATTAGTCCTACAGAAATTGAAAGATAATGGAAGTACTAATAGGCATTAACTTGTTCATTGCAATTTCAAAACTGCAAATAATTCATTAGTTTTTGCCATTTCATAATTAATTGATGATATGGAATTTACAGGCTGGGAATCCAGAGTGCCAGCTTCAGGTGACACTGGGAGTTGAGCTTGTTTGATATAGAATCAATTGTACAGTTTGATCTCAGGTGGCACGCATTCTATTTCTATTGTTTGCAGTCTAGAAGTGCATGGGAGTTAAGAATTAATAGATGAGCGTTACGAAGACAATAATTTTCTTTTGTTACCTCCTGATGGTGCTCTGTTCTTTGACGAAGAAATCAGTGACAAAACTAAAAGGGACACAAATCATCTGCCCCATTGACTTCTGAACTCAGTTGTTGAAGTTCATAGAATGATAAAAAATGATTCTGCTACAGGACACGTTTATAAACCAGATGTAGCAATGTGTAGTGTTGAAAACAGCAATGATATGTGATTCTTCAAAAAGGGAATGTTGCGATAAGAAGGAAAATCCGACTCAGTCTCAAACACAGTGGGTTTGAAAATAAAAGCTACTTTAATCTCAAATCCGGTAAAAGAGATAATAAGGACACTAAAAATGACAAACATTATTTGAATCTAAAACAAGCTTAATGCTTGGCTTGTACTGAAACGCGGTCAAAATGCCACAGAATTTACTTTTTATGATGTTTGAAGGTGATTGTCGAAGTTTACTACAGTTTGTCAAATGGAGAGGTGCCTCAGAAGTCGTCCCTGTCGAAGCCTCCATCAAAGGTTGAGTGTAATCAGAAGTAAGAAGAAATTCTGATGTAAACCGCTTTAGAAAATAGTGTTCTCAGAGCAGATGCAGTCTGTCACCAATGCACAAGAATCATATACTAAAAGTGCAAAGTACCACTTAATTTACAGTCTTAGTACAAATTTCAAAATACAAATTATTAAAAAAAAATTTTTTTCTACTTCAAAATTCAATTTTATATGTTTTTCTGTATTTTCATGTGTCAAAACAACCAGTAAATTAAAGTCCATTTGATACAAAGGATGCAAATGCTTATAAATCATTTTGGTGCATTTTGTTTTCGATAGACCCACAACGCCCAGTGTCACCGATTGGTGACGCTACCTTAAAACATAAACTGTAGTGTTGTTTTAGATAATACGTGGTTAAGGAAACAGATATTTAAGTACTATTCAGAACAGAAAACAAAAATCTCCTATATTATAACAATAGGGAATTGTCAAGTTAAGCAATAGGCACTGCAATAATTTGTTTATAATTGACAATTGTACTTGTAACAGATAAAGTCAAGGTCCTTTATATCAATGAAAATTACTTTAAGAATATCCTCCTTGTTAATTTACATGTTTGAATAATGTCGGTGACTAATTCAGGTAGTAAGATTAATTGACTGGATCAGTCTGGACCTAAATCTGCAAAAAAATTTTCTTTTTTCTTGGTTTTAAAGATTTCCTCTTTCCATATCATCTAATACTGGGAAACTTATGATAGTGATTCTTTCTTTTCAACTTTCGTATTTCATTGCGTACATACATCAGTTTGTTTTCCTTTTGCCCTAATTTGGTAGTTTACCAAATTTCATGACAATAAATTAATATTGCTGCATAGGAATCTCAAGCTTTTGACATTATAGCAAGTGAAAGGCAATTGTGGTTAAAATTTTGTTTAGGAGGATTTTGTTTAGGTTTTGTATGGAGATTTTTTTCATAACAACAAAAACTGAGAATTTTTTTACGTTTTCTCCACTTATTCTACTAATTGCAATAATACTGTTGTTACTGGTCTGAAAAGTCAGAGATTTGTTTTTTAAAATAGAAGTCTATGAATTTGAATAAGCTGTTGGAAAAAATGTATTAACTACATAGCACCATGCCAAGTATACGGAACCAAGCAATGCTTACCTGATGTGATAACATAGCAAGGTTGGGAATTTCGAACTCGTCCCCTCTTGAATATCTGGTCCCCATTCTTTTTCCAAGTGAGGTGTAGTGCCACACTGAAATCGGTGCTGTCAAGGACTGATCCCCTGTAGATTTCGATTCTTACATCTCATAGACTCTGCCCAAAAATAAACTTAAACAATATCTCGCTGTGGATGTAATATCATTTTTTTATACAAAGATTTTGAACTAAACTTTTGGGTCTTAATTTTAGTTATATAAAAATGTTTTAATACAGTTTATTTTATTAATGAAATAAATGCAAAAACCCATAAATTGATATCTCTTTACAGAGTTTGTTTTTATTTAATCTTCTGTACTGAGGTACAAAAGTCATGTGATATCTCCTAATATTATGTTAGATTTCCTTTTGCCCAGCGAAGTGCAAAAATTTCCCACACGGCATGCACTCAACAAATTGTTGGAATTCCCTGCAGAAATTCCGAGCCAAGCTGCCTCTGTAGCCGTCCATAATTGTGAAAGTGTTGCTGGTTGCTGAATTTTGTACACGAACTGACCTCTCAATAGGGAGTTTGTGCATGCTACAGCGGACAATTCTGTTGATCTGCGCTTGTGCAGATGTACTAAAGTGGTGGAAAACTGGAACTGTGCATGTGCAGAAAATAGATAGTGTTTTAACACGCAAGGTGGCACAAACTCCTTTTTATGCCTCATAAATGTTTGATGGAATTCATGTCAGGTGATCTTGATGGCAAATCATTTGCTCAAATTGCCCTGAAAGTTCTTTAAACCAATCGCATACAATTGTGGTCCAGTAACATGGCACATTGTCATCCATAAAAATTCCGCTATTGTTTATGACTGTGAAGTCCCTGAATGGCTACAAATGGTCTCCAATACAGAGCTACCACCAGCTTCCACAGTGCCCTGTTGGCAACTAGGGTCCATGGTGGGGTCTGTGTCAAACTCAAATCTCTATTATCAACTCTTACCAACTGAAATTGGGACTCATCTGACATAGCTACAGTATTCCAGATGCCTAGGGGCCAATCGATATGGTCACAACTACAGGTGAGGCACTGCAAGTGATGTCATGCTGTTAGCAAGGCATTTGAGGCACTCTTGTGCTGCCACAGACCATTAAAGCCAAATGTTCTAACAGATACATTTGTTGGATGTCCTACATTGATTTGTGCAGTTATTTAATGCAATGTTGCTTGTCTGTTAGCTCTGACAATTCTACATAATGTTGCTCTTGATCATCAAGAGATGCCATGGGCCACTTCGTTTCCTTGATGAGAGGTTATACTTGCAATGGTATTCTTAGCATACACTTGGCACTGTTAATCTTAGTAATATTGAATTCTTTAATGATTTCTGAAATGGAATGTCCCGTGCATCTAGCTCCAACTACCATTCTGAGTTCAGTCTTCATTCCGCCATGAGGCTATTATCACATAAATCTTTTCACGTGAATACAAATGAAAGATATGCCAATGCACTGCCCTTTTATACCTTTTGTACATGCTATTACTGCCATATGTATATTTGTTTACATCTATCTAATGACTTTTGCCACTTCATTGTATATTAAGTGTAGATTTCAAATGTAAACACTGTAACAGTTTGTATTGTCTTTCATTAAAAAATCTTACACACATTTACCTCAGTAGAACTAGTCAGACTAATATTATATATGGCTTCATCATTTCTTTACATTCAAATTTCCACATGTGTCTGTTCTGTCTCATCTAATTTCATTTTCAAGAAAATTTTGTCTACAAAATTTTCTTGAAAACTGCTCCAAACTTTTACTAGAAATATCATTGATTGCTAACTTATGTTCCTTAAACAATAAAGAGAGGTTCACTTGCGTTTAACATAAATTGTTGTAAGGTCATGTTAAAATACAATTTTGCTATCTTTTCAAATGATTAACGCTTGAACCATAGCAGATCTAATTATATTTTTAATATATCTTTGAATGTATTTAGGTGTGACTTTTTTAATATCTGTAATCTTTCAGGGTCATATCAGAAACCTAGCATAGGTCGCACAGTGGAATCTAGGCCTTCTCAAGTTAATTTTTCTACTGTAGCAATTGTTCCAATATCTGATGATGTTCCTCTGACAGCTTTCACTTATGAACTGTATCATTCATTGTGTGCTATTGGTAAGTTGTACATGTGACTAAATATAATGTGAATAATAAGCCTATTATATCTCATTGGATTTCAAGTTTTAATATTTTTTTCAATTTTAGGTTCAACCCTTCGATTGACGTCTGATGTGATTCGAAAATCATTGGGCACTTCAATTTTAGATCCAGCAAATGAATACCGTCTGACATCATGGCTTGCACAACAGGAGGATCAACATAAAATTGCTTTATATCAATGTGATACTAGTTTTACCCAATGGACACAACGTTGTATTCGTCAAGCAGATTGCATTCTTATTGTAGGACTTGTTGAGCGTGGACCTAATATTGGCAAAGTTAGTGACATCATTGTTTCCATTATACTGATTTTATATCACATTTTAAGTTGGTGTGTAACTTTCTCTTAATGTGAATTCATTGTACTAATATTCATTAATAAACTGAATTCTTCAAATTTCACTTCCAACTTGGGTTTAATGTACACAGAAATACTAAGTTTAAATTTTGCCTTATATTTTAATGAAAGCCTCTTGTGAGATTTGTTTGTTAATTATTTTATCTATTTTGTATTTCCATTTGAAATTTATGTGACCATAATGTTTTGGCAACAAAAGTATATGCATACACACGTTAAAAAAAGTTGCAATACTATGTTACTCTGTACAAGTGTAATATGTCATTTCTTAACACTCAGTTTCAAGAAAAATATAGTTTTAAAGTTTTTGAAACCCTGTCAGTTTCTGACATAGTTCTTCATATCTCTTTTTATTCTGTTTATTTACTTCAATTATTTGTTATTGATGTTTGCATGAAATTGATCTTTTTGTTTATTTTAGAGCATTAATGTTTTGTTTTTTTATCAGATTGAGAAAGAAGTAGAGCGCTTGGCCATTCGAACTCAAAAAGAATTAGTACTGTTGCACAGAGAAAGTGGAGATCGACCTAACAATACAGTATCCTGGCTAAACAATCGAAGTTGGGTGTCCTGTCACCATCACATTCAGTGTCCAAAGAGGATGTTTACCAGACGTTCACAATATCGAATTGTAAGTTTTAATGTGAGATTTAGTGCTGCAGATATTTTTTATTTTGCCTAAATAAATTGTTTTAAATCCGTGTTGATGTAATAAATCTGCAAGTAAACTTTCTTCTTTTTAGAATGAATTATATAGTAAGGTGTTAATGTCAGAACCCAATATTCATTCTGATTTTTCACGCCTTGCACGATGGCTTATGGGAACATCGGTTGGACTTGTTCTGGGAGGTGGCGGAGCACGTGGTGCTGCTCATGTGGGAATGCTGAAAGCTATTCAGGTTAGTGCTTGTAAGTTCCCTATAAATAAGGTACAAAGGTGACTTTAAAAAAATTTGAGACACACTCTGTGGCTTTATTATTCCACTTTGGCCTGGATTAACATCTTTTGGGGTCTGAAGCATGTCCAGAAAATGCAGCTCCCATATAATAATATAATATTAATTTGAAATTGAACCGGATTTACAAGATTATGCAGCGGCCTGCTTGCTAATGTCTTCTTCTAATCAAGGATTAGGTTCATCTTCCTTTTCCGGCACCCATTTAGCATGTGGCCTTCCAACGACACGTTTTCCTTTTAGTTGATATTGCATTGCCAAAGCTGGAAATCTGCTGCTTGGCATTCTTCTTAGACGTGCGCACCATTTCTTGTTATTTTTGACCAGCTTGTCGAGCACTGGTTCTATCCCGAGTTCTCCCCTTTGATCATTATTTCTTTTTTTATCTAAAATTGTATATCCTAATGTGCTTTGAATAAATTTCATTTCTGCTGCCTGAGCTTTTGATTTATCTCCGTTTGTCATTACTCTAGTTTCGTTTCCGTATGTTAAAATGGGTACAGCCACAGTATTGAAAAACTTTACTCCAGTATCTTGTTCGTGTTTTGTTCTCTCAAATTCCCATGATTGTTCACATTTTTCGGAAATGTTTTAATTTTATGTGTAGGTCTAGTCTTTTCCATAAGAATGTGGCATCCTAGATTACTTAAAAGTGTTTTCACTTGCTCTATTATTTCTTTCTTCAATGACTTATTTTGTTCTTACAGGAATTTTTCCCTTTAATTGCCATTGTTTTTGTTTTTATTAGTGGAGATTTTTTGAGGTTATATTCCTTAGTTAATTGGTTTAGTGGCAAAACAGCTTTCTGTATTTAATCCTCGTTTTCCCTGAATGATCACTTGATCCGATCAGCGGTATAAAAAGGAAGTTCATTAAAATTTTGTTTCCGCAAAATATATTCCCGGGTCAATTAACAATTTTCCATGTCCTAAAATATCGTCAATGATAAATGTTAAAAGGGTTTGGTGGCGATACAGCAACCTGCCTTACTCCTTTGTGCATCCGTGAGTCGCTCTCTCTCTCGCGCCGCAGGCTTCTCGTGGCAAATACACTTATGAACATGTATACGGACACTTGGTGGGCACTGGTATGCTTGTCTTCTGCTCCTCCGGTGTGGGCGGTGGACTTTTACGTCCCCTGCTGTATGGCAAGAAACTTGGCCATCAACCTATATCTTCTAGCAGGGTTTTCCCCCACCGCTGGTAGGTGGCTGGTGGGGGAAAACCCTGCTAGAAGATAGTAGGTTGATGCCAGTTCTTGCCATACAGCAGGAGAAAACCACCGCCACACCCAGAGCAGCAACATGCACTACACTTACAACACTAATGACCCTAGTAGTTGACACACCTGGAATCACAATCAATCGATAAATCTGTTGCAATTCTCTCTTGCTTGTCTACTCCACCATAACACAGCATAATTTTCTACATATTTTGATCCTTTTGGTTTCTTCTTAGTTTTTGTTACAAAAGCTAGATTGACATTCACCTTTTCAAAAATTTTAGCCAGTTCATTTTCTTTGCCCAATATACCTGTCACATTCCAGGTAACAATTTTGAAGTATTCCAATATTCATTTTATATTCCCATTTTCTTTGATTTGGTTGTCGTAGTTTTCACTTTAAAGCCATCATTCTGGACATTGCTAGTAAAAATTTTTTACGTGGGTTGATTACCAGCCCCCTCTGCACAACCTCTTTCTCAAGGAGGGGTAGGTTATATCTGATTTCCCTTGGCCTAGATGGATTGTCTTCTCCAGGGCTTCGAGGTGTCTCTTCCTATCTAGAGTTCCTCTTCTGCCTCTTCTTTTTGTCTTCATTGAGGTTCTCTTTTGAAGTACTTCTTAGTCAGATCCCTACCTTTCGATCTGCTCGGCAAGGGAGACCCTACTAGTAGCTATGCTACCGCCGGCTTAGCTCTGGGTGTCATGCGAATACTCAAGCTCTGCTACCAATGACAAGGCTTGTACTCCCTAGATGGAAACATAAAGAGCCCTCAGAGTATTAATACAGTCTTGTTCAATACAAGGTATTCTTATGAATCTAAGTAATTGATTGGCTTGGTTGACTGTAATTTGTATGAGCTATGAACGACATTTTGGTGTCAAAACTGGCACTGAGATTACAAATAAATTTAGCACTCAAATTGAATTGATTTTATTGTTATAGTAATTAGACAATGTTGATTGTGAGAAGGTAATGGGTTTAGATTTAATGAGATTTAAATTAAGATAATTACAAGTACACCAGTTAACAAACTTGTTCAGCACTCGTTGCAATATGGTGACGTCAGTGTCATTAGGTATTGATTTAAGAATTTGCAGTCTTCAGCATACAGTAAGAATTCCACATCTTTCAAAAGTGACTTTAAATAATCAATAAATATAACTGAAGTGGACCAAGAAGCAAGCCCTATGGTACTCTAGATAAGTTTGAAATACTGTGTGATGAAGCATTGCAAATGTTTACATATTACATTCTGTTCATTAGGTAATTGTAACTCCAATTCAAAAGACTACTGGTAATGCCAAAAGCTTTTAGTTTATGTAGTAGCAAATTATAATTTACTGAATCAACAGCGTTACTGAAGTTCGTATAAATACTATTGACTTGGCATTTAAGATAAAGAGAGTCTCTTAGATACTGAGTGTAGTGTGTGAAGTGAGTTCAAGTTAAAATATGATTGGTCTAACAACTCAATAGAATAATTTTGGATGTAAGAAGATTTATTAAATCTTGAAAAGTTATTAGCAAAAGTGTTTTGCAATTGATTGAGCATCATTAAATGTTTCATTATTTAGGTGCATAACATTAGCTAAGGTATTACCAGTCGTTTTGGAATGCATGTATCTCCAAAAAATTTTAGGACAAGGTGTTATATATTTTCAGTACTTCTGTTATGATAATCAAAATCTTTTCACCTAATGTTTTGCATTTAGTCAGTAAAAAAAGTGTAGTTCAGATCAGAATCACATTGTTTACAGAGTATATATGCCTCTTTCTTTACAACTACTGAAATAAATCATTTATGTTTGACATTTTCAGTTGTACCAAGAAGGTACACAGTCATTTCAAACAAGAACTATGTATACTAATCTTAATTAATTTATCTATCAATAATCTGTGCTAACATTATCAAATGCTTTTGTGACTGTGAAAATTGCATGAACTTGTAAAACTCAATTCACGTTTATCTTTGTCAGAATTTGCAAAAACAACTGGCATAACATTTGTTTTTCTTTTTGTTTCATTTCATTCATTCATGTATTCATGGTAAATTAATTATCATGTGTTAATGTCAATTCTACAGTAATTAAATGTCATATGGATCTTCAATTCTCTTTTTCCAGGAAGCAGGAATTCCTGTGGACATGGTGGGAGGGGTCAGTATTGGAGCATTTATGGGTGCCCTTTGGTGTATGGAAAAAAATATAACTACTATGACCCAGAAAGCTCGTGAATGGTCAAAAGTAAGTAAGAGTTATAATTTTTTCTTTGAAAAGTTTGTCTATGTGTTAAACTCAGTTTGTTATGAATTACTCATAGTATTTTATATCTGTAATCACAATTAATTTTAATAGTGAAAAAATGAACAAAAAAAAAATTTAAAACAGACTTTGAAATGTAGAAAAGCCCTTAAAAGTTAAAAATAATTTTGAATGTACATTTTGTGG